ATAGCAAGATCAAGAGACCGCATAGTTTGCGGCAATTTGCCAGCCTTCAGCGAGTCACGGGAACGAGTCTTCATCTCTGACCTGCAGAGCCCAGCATGATCCCAAGGCATGGTGCAGCAGTGACACTTCCAGGAAGGCCTGCGGCGGGAAACTGGGTCTGTTCCACACCTTGCGCAGCTTGGTCTTGAGTCACGAATAGCAACGTCAATCACGAATGTGAATGTGTACTCAAGAACGAGTTGGAGTGCACTCTGATACATCCGCGAGCGACCTATATAGCACAAACCGGCGCGGTAGTCACGGAGGAGTGTGGAGAGAGCATGCGTCTCGTGCGAATGGGCGCTCGATCGCCCTCACGTGCTCCTCCTTCTTTGCATCTGCCTTTGACGCTGGTAGTGCAAACTCTCGCAAGCTTCACAGCGCTGCTGCTCATAGTGCGTCATCCGCGAGATGTGGGCGCTGCATCCTGATTCACTGTGGTGCCCTCAAGCCTAAGGTGGACACCAGCCGGTCAGTATATATCGCCCCTGCTTGATCTTCTCGTGCCGTCTCCATAAAAGCCCTGCAGATGTATAGCGCGAATGATATTTTGGGGGGCCGCTCGAGTCGCATGGGCCGACAAAACTCCGCTCGCGCCGCCGGCGAGTCGCGATCGATCGACTGCGCTTGCCCTGCTGCCACAAACATCCGCGGAATGTCGGAGCAAATGTCAACGACTGCTGCAGTGCCGAATGAGGGCATTTTGCCCCGCGCGAGAAAGCTTGCGAGCGTAAGCAAGACTCGGCGCTCAGGCACTCCGCGCGGCTCAGTGGGGGCGTGAGACGAATTGGATTCAATTTGATTCGCTTTCGTGGCCGCGGCACGGAGGCATGTCAGTCTCTTGATCGACATGCCCATGCATGCAAGAGGCTTGGATGGAATATGCGACGTGGGCCGTGGCTCGCTTCAAAGCGCATGGTCTGGGCATATCTATCCGGACTCGCGTGCGTCAAAGAGCAAAGTTAATTCTACGCCCAAGACCCTAGACCCGCTACTCGACGCGACTGCGCAATCGTCTACACTCTCCAGCAGGTGACATGCTTCCACAAGCAATT